TGGACTAGTCATCTGAGACCTGGTTTTCTTGTCTGAAAGTGAAAAAAATAATACCACAAAGATGAGCTGGTCTTTGATGAGCTCACATCTTTGAGCTCCAAAAATGTACAAGAGACTTCTTTAATAAAAGTTAAATTAGCAGTCAATAAGCAAAACTAAGAATCTGAATCCAGACCTGTTTCCAGGGCTCCAGCCTTTATAGATGAAATATACGCCTACTGGTCCCGCCTTTCAAACAGGTGGTAGAAATACCAAGCAGAGTCCCAGGGAGGGAGGGAGTTATGGAGATGAACCTTAGAGGAAAGCAGGACTCAAATAGGGCCCAGGATTTCTCAGAAGTGGATTGGAAGGGCATGCTACTGACATGTGACAGGATGATTTTCCAGTGGACGGACTGTACCAGGCCATTTAGCATGCCTGCCTCGACCACATACACTGAAGGCCAGTGATACTCATCAATGTAATAAAAAAACAGAAAGAAAGAAAAAAGGCCCACATACATTTCAAAATGCTCCTGGAGAGAAGGTAAAAACACACCACCAGATAAAGCAGAAAAAAAAGACAGAGTAATCACAGTGAGTAGAAAGCATGAGACACAAAGACATGGACAAAATTCAGAGATTTGATGAGGAGCTGGCAGAAAAAGGCCATTCTTTAAAGACTCTTACCTACAAAATCAAGTCCAAACCCCTAAGCAAACTATGTCCTTTAGGACTTGGCTCTGCCCATCCCAGCTGTCTCAACTCCAGCTTTCTCCTTAAGGCACTCTGTTCTCCAGCCACCCCAAACAACTTGTGGTTTTCCTGATTGCTGTTTTCCTACTTCTATGCCTTTGTGCATGTTTTCCTCTACCCAGAATGCACTTAAGGTGAACTCCTAGTTATACATCAACACCTGGCTCAAAAGTGTGAAGCCATACAAAGACAACTCCACATCACTCAGGCCTTTTTCTCCTTCACAGCACTTCTCACATTCCTTCTGTATGGCTCTGGTCTGTTCTCTGTTATTGCCTACCTTCATCCCACTGCATGGACTAAGAGCTACTAAAGGGTAGGGACCATGTGAACCTTGGCATGTAACAGATACTCAGTAAATGTTTTCTGAGTGAATGATATTGCATGAAAGGCTCCTAAAAAATAGTACAAGGAAAAGCAAACATCAGATATTTTCTGTTATCGAAAGCATTTATTTTCTCACCTCTGCTCTCTGGTTAAGTATCACCTAGGACCAGACAGACTGGGATGCTCTATCACTTCCTAGCTCTATGTCCATTGGCAAGTCAGCAAACCTCTCTGTGTCTCAAGTTTCTTCACTTATAAGGTAACCACCTTTGCAGTGTGATTATGAGGATTGATTAACGTATGTAAAAAAAGAAAAGAAAGTGCCAACTAAATGACAGTTCTGCTAGTCCGCCATAACCACAAAAACCGTAACAGGACAGGGTATTGTACCACTGGGAATGTGATCACAATGAAATTTGGTCGGAAGCATCTGTTGCTCTTTTTTAAGGGGCCGAAAGTCAACAAATCCAAAAGCTTGTCTTCAAGCTGCATTGTTTGCCCTCCATAATATTCAATACCAATCCCCTAATAACCACTGTCTCCCCTGGCACCTTTGATAATGTACACTCTCAGTTCTCTGGTCTGACCACACTTCCTCTGTCATCCTCTGTAACTTGTCTTCTATTGACATCTAAAGTAAGGGATTCCTCTGGCTCAGTTCTCACATTTTTTTCTCACCTTGTCCACTCTCAAGGCTTCAATTATTATCTCTATGGAGATGACCTTATGACTTCTCACATTCACAAAATATTTCAAACCCAACTTATCCAAAAATACTTAATCTTTGTCAATAAGACAATAAAGCATCACATTCAATCCCTCCCCCTCTCACACTTTTTCCTTTTTTCCTGATTCTCACACATCTCACTAGCCCTCAGGTTCCTCTTCCTTTGCTGTCCTCTAAAAGTATGTGTTCACCAGAGTTACCTCTCTGGTCTTTCTGTTCTACCTCAGTAGTTCTTAATCCTTGGGATAATGGACACCTTTGAAAACATACTGAATGCTATGGACTGTTTATTAAAAAGAAAAAACATACACAACACCTGCTTGCAATTTCACCTAACCAATTACCTCAAGAATCTGCTCATCCACATAAGACTACCACTTACATCATCTCCAGATTCTACTTCCCTCTTATAAATTCAAGGCGCCTTCTGGATACTACATAGCCTCAAAGGCCTACAGTCACCACAAAGCTAGCAAGTCCAAACTCGAACTCTCTTTCTCCCTAACAAACCTGCTCTGCCTGCAGCATTCCTTCTAGGATAATGGCACCATCATCCTCCCAAGCTAGAAGCCTTGCAATGAATGAACAACTATGCCAAACCAAATCAATCACCAAGCCTTGTCTTAGAAATCCCTCTCAATCCAAATCTCACCTCTCTCGGGCTTATGCTTTAAGAGCTCATCTTCCTTTGCTTCTTCCCATACTTGCCGTACACAATTAAAGTCTACCACTCTTCTGACAAGAGTCCCTGATTCTGTCGTTGTAAGGTTTCACACCCCCATCTACTACCTTCCACTGCCACTATTTTACTCTACCTCTAGATGATTACAATACCCAGATTCCTCCACCTCAGTAATTTTCCCTATCATTTCTACCAGTGTTGATCTATTTTCCTAAAACATTTCAAAATTGACCATATCAACCATATCACTACCTCTTTCCAAAAGCAGTGATCCTTCTCCATTGCACAAATACACTACTAGCCTTAGTTCTGCCTTTAGAGTCCTCTACAATTTGCCACCTAAGGACTTTTCCAGGATTAGACTCCACAAGCACAAGCTGTCACTTGTGCCTCTTTTCTATCAAAAACTCCACTCTTCAACTTTTTATCTTCCACATAATGACTAGGAAAGGGATCTGCACCGAAAAGGCAAAATTCCTAATGAAATTATTCAGGAAATGAAAAAAAAAAGTTGCCTGAAAAATCCTTAAATGCTTCTGGAAGCACTAAGTTTTTAAAAATACCGCAATTCAAATAATAACACTTCAATCCAGAACCCCTCCACAAACCCAGCATTTGTTAAATACTAGTAATGTGCATTTAGACTTACTCTTACTAGGGTATACAATCAATCTGAAGATATGAAGCTCTAAATGGACCCAGGATTCTAATTCAAACTACATCTGGACTTTACTTATGAAAGGAAAATGACAGTGAAAGTATGTGGCATTTCACCTAATAGACTTAGAAGGTCAAATAGGTCTACAGCAGTGATAGAAATAGTTTCAGATCTAAATCATCTTCAGATCAGATTAAACTTTCAACTAAAATGTTCTCCACCTGAACATTTTTTGACCTATGGATTTTTTTCAGTCCCTATTTCCAATGTTCAATTTTTTAAAAGGGCCAAAGTACATGATGGGCAATTCTGAGCCTTCTCATAATAATACATGTTTACTGGCATACATACCAGCAAGTGCAACAGCAATAAAATGTACAAGAGAAGTGATGCTGCAGATGGCATTTTTAGGGCCTTCTTTCTTTTAGACCTGACCTAATTTAATTTCTCTATTGGTTCCTAAACCTGAATAATATTAATGTTCACAGCTATATCCTGTGAAGCATTTTTATCCTGAAAAGAATGAAAATATTCAAGTTAGTCTTTTTTTTTTTCAGAATTTTAACTAGTCTAGCTAAGACACTTTGTAAAACATGCCCTTTATGGCATTTCTAAAATTTTTTCATTCAAAATTTAATGTTTCTGAAATAGATTTTCTTATAACTGTCAAATATGCTAAAATTCTAAAATTATTAATAACACTAAGGAAAGCAGGGTGAAAGAGAAAGTGCTCTAGCATTTGAAATAGGAGCTGAGTCTACAATCTCAGGTCTGACTCTAGTTGTATAACTTTAGAAATCGGCTTCACCTAGAAATACAAATGAGAAAGGCACAGGACTGAGCACGAGGTGTCTAACAAATATTAGTTTCCTCCCTTCATTTCAGCATAAAAGACACACTCGTAAGATTTAGGTGTAAGGGAGTCTACATTTCCACAAATATTCATCGGCACAGAACACTACACGGCTAGTTGGTTCTAACAATACCGCCGCCCTCAAGCCCTAACGTTTCTGAGGATCTGATCAAGAAGGAGCTTGCATGTGATTCTGCAAGAACTCCATTAAAACTGCATATATATTGACCACTAAAACATTAACAGGAAAAGTCCACAGTAATTGTGCTGAAACATCTGGATGCATTTATGCAGGGTAAGAGGGCTCATTCGGGGTAAAAGGGGAAAAAAATGTCAAATTAGGCCCAACTCCAAAAGTCTCTTTAATAAATCAAGACAGCGATGCTGTCTTATCCTTCCCGAAACACAAACAGTACGGCATTAAAATACATTTTTAAACTTTTAAGACTGAAATATTCCAAAACACTGGGCCACTAATGCTTTGTAGAAGGCCTGCGCAGGCGAGCACTACCAGCACCATTTAGCGCCAGTAAAGGTATTTAATGAAAGCCGTTCTCAGAAAACACAGGCGAGGTGATTATTACTACGCTGTCATTAGATTATTATTTCGGCGTTGTGCACACACGCCGAAGCGAACCGCTCGCTCTCGATCCCGCGGCCGCCTCCACCACCTACCAGCGTCTGAAGGAATTCCCAGCTTTACAATCGGAGGTCAAAAGCGCCACGATATTCGCAAACTTGGGGGCCGGCGCTTCCGTCCCTTCCCGGGGGTCCCAAAAGCCGCGCAGCGCCCAGTCCCGAGAGTCCCCGAGCGCTGGCCTCCGCCCCCCTCCCCGCGGCGAGCGAGGGCCGGCCGGCGGAGCGCGCAACACCCAAACCTCGACCGACCCCGGGGCCCCGCCCGAGGCCCCCCGACGCGCAACCCAGGCGAAGCCAGGGGTCGGGGGCGCGGCGGCGCGGACCCCGGGCGGCGGGGCGGACGGGCGCGGCAGGGCCTGCGGGCGGGCGCGGACACTCACCACACCATGCCGTAGGCGCCCTCGCCGATGTACGAGAGGTTGGTGTAGCGCGGCCCCACGTCGAACACCTGCCCGCGGACCATCTCGGGGCCCGCGCCCGCTGCCGCTGCCGCCGCCATGTTGGCTGCCGGGCCGCCGCCGCCGCCGCCGCCGCCGCCGCGCTGGGTTCGACGCTCTGCGGCTGCCGCTCGGCCCACGCCGCGCCTCCGGAGGGACCGCGACGCTGCCCGTGCAGCCGCCGCCGCTGACCGCAAAGGAGCACGGAGGGTGCCGCTCAAGACGGCCGGGGAGGCGACGGCCGCTCAGACCGACTCCCAGCCTGACTGACTGACGGGAGGGCCGGCGGACGCAGGGAGGGGCCCGCGCCCAGGAGGGCGCTAAGGCGGGGCCAGGAAGCGTGCGCGCGGATTGGCTCCTCGCGGCTGGGGGCGGGGATGCGCGGGTGGCGGAAGCAGCGAGCTCGGGGCGGAGCACTGCGGCGGCGACGGAGATGCCGCCCTGCGCGGTCACGTGCGTCTGTGCGGAGCTGGTGCGGGAAGTGCCCCTGGAGACGCCGAAGGACACCCGAGAGTGGGCACTGCACCCGCAGGGCTGGACCTGGGAGATGGTCGGGGACAGGGAAAGCCCCGGAGCGGGGCCCCGACTGAGGCAGAGAGCGACCCGGGCCGGCGATGCTCCCGCCACACACCGGCCGCAGGCCTGGGCGAGTCCATGGCCCCCACACACAGCGGAGGCCTGGAGACAAGGGCAGCCACCGAAAAAACATGACTGAGACCGAGAGAGAAATCTACATACTGAGAAAGTGTAAAACACAAAGGTCAGGACCACAGGGAGAGACCGGCAGGATCCGCTAACCAGAGGCTCGTTCCGCAAGTGTTTGTTGAGCATCTACCATGTTCCTGGGCACCCAGCCTCGTGGAAGTTACATTCTGGAGGGAGGAGATAGGTTAGGTAGACAGATACGTAGGGGAAATAGGTAAGTAGGTAGATAACCACACAAACAGGTAACACTCCAGCTATGATAAGTACTGTGAAGAAATATAAAGCAGAGTAATGGGTTAGGGAGTCGGGACACTAGAGAAAGGAACTGACATTTAGAGACTGAGTTCCAGATGGGTACAGATGGACAGAAGAAGCTTATGCATAGGACATACCGAAAATATGAACGCAAAGGTGGAAATCTAAAACCAAAACATGGGGTTTTAGAGAAAATAAAACAAATACACAGGCCTAGAAATAGTCACAAACACCAGAGGCTGAGATATGAAAATCAGAATCCTGAAGCAAGTGAATGCCAAGAGTAGCTACGACTATGAGACAAAATGATCCAGCCGCTGCTTCTGAACCATTTCCAGGCCATCTCTGGAGGGGGAGTAAGGGTGGAGAGTTGAAAACCACCAGCTCTGGACTTCAAACATTGGCCAGAGTTCAACTAGTCAATCTCAAAGGCAAATCAGAAAAATTAAAAAGCCCCTCTCGGGAAAAACATGTGGCAGATAAAGTACTAGAGCCCAAAATCACTCGTTTGAAATAAGTTTAGTTCATGAAGCAGAACCCAGCTTTAGAAAACACCTGACTTCTTAGCATAAAAGGGTGTTGCATCTTTTAAAGAATAGGCGAAGATAAATGGACAGTACAATAAAGTTAAAACCACAATAACCAAAGTGAAATTCAGGAGGCATAACAGTAAGAAGATCTGACAATGCAGAAGAGCAAATTTGCAATATGGAAGATAAACATAAGAACAATTCAAAGTGATTGATAGAATTCTTCGAGAGAAGAAAATGGACAAGAGAAGATCGCGGAGGTCCAGTCCGTGGGCGTCCTCCAAGAGAAGGCAAAGCGATCAGTTAGAGGCAGTAATTAAAATCACAATAAAAGGAAACATTCCTTAGGTCTGAAAGGATCTGAGGTGGAAATGGAAAATCGAGTGAGTTCACTGAGATCCTGAAAAAATAAGGAGAAACCAGTCTCAAGACATACTCCGGAAAAACTTCAATTCCAGGGATGAAGAACAAACCCTAACCCAATAAGAAAAAAAAATAGTTTTATTTGTAAAAAAACTAAAAACTGTTTTCCTACAGATTCCTCCCCTGTAATCATTAAATGCCGAAGGCAAATGAAACAAGATTGACAGCACCCTGAGGGGGCAGGAACACCCGTTGGATGGGTCCATTCCCTCCAATACCTTCATGCCTCCCAGGTTCTGAACCATTGCTCAAAATCTCTCTCCTGAACTCCAGGTCGTTTGTCTAGGTGGACAGTTCCACGTGACCCCCTACAGGTGCTTCAGCTCCAGGGACTCAAACTGCCAACGGTGAACTACAGGAGTTCTGCCGGAGGCTTTGATTCTTGGCTGCTCCACTTACTACCTGTATGACCTTGGCCTCAGTTTCCTCACCCTTAAAATGAAGAGCATAGTAGTACCTACCTCATAAGTTTGTTGCATGGTGTAAATAAGATAACACATGTAAGGAGCCTGGCACATAGTAAGTAGCCAGTGAATGTTATATGCTGTTGTTTTCTGCCCCACCCCAACCTGTTCCTCATCTTGTGTCTGTGGATAGCATCACCACCCAGATACTCAAGCTGGAAGTTTGGGTATGATCCTCCACTCATTTTACCTCGCTCCTAGCTTCTGCCCCATCCAACCAATCACAGACTTCTGTAAATTTGATTTCATGAATATTTCTATAAGCACTGCTACTCAGAGTGTGGTATCCAGACCAGCAGCAGCAACCTAATGTGGGAGTTTGTTAGGAAGGCAGCATCTCAGGCCCAACCCCGAGCCTACTGAATCAGGATCTTCATTTTAACAAGAACCCCAGGTGGTTCATCTGCATCTCAAACTTCAAAAAACACTGTTTTGTTTTGTTTTGTTTTTACTGAGGTATAATTGACATAAAATAAATTAGTTTCAGGTGTACGACATGATGATTCAACATTTGTATATATTGGGGAATGACCACCATAATAAGTCTAGTTAACACCTATAACCACAGATAGTTATGGAATTTTAAGAAGCACGATTTTAAATGTGTCTACTTCATCTCCACCATCATTCTGCTGGTTAAAGCCTGCTGCATCGACTGTGTGCCCCAGGCTACCAGAATAAACTAACTCTCTTCTGCTTTCAGTGCTGCCTGTCTCCAGTGGCTCTCCGACACCCAGATCAGTCTTTCCCTAGCAGATTTGACTGTGCCACTCCCCTTCTTAAAGCAAGCCAGTGGCTCCCCGCTGCCCTCAGACTGAGGCCTTTGCTGACCACCTTCCATTCCGGCTGTGCCACTCTGCCCCGCTTGCCTTCCATGCTTCAGCCAGACTGGACTCCTGTCAGTCCTCTCATCTTTCAGTCTTACCGCATACCTGTGCCGTGTTCTCTCTCCACTCTTCCAGCATGTGTGGGCATTGTAAAGCCACCACACTATCATCAAATGATGCCTCTGACCACTAATTTTCTCCAGGGAACTTTTCTTGCCTGATTCCATAGGCACCACGTAACCCTATGATTAGAGTTTGACCTCACTTGTGGTTTTCAACAGGGCAAGTGCATTGATCAGAGGACATCCCTAGTCACGTCCCTTGGCAATTACTGTTCATTCTCAGATGCTGTTTAGATATACATCAGTCTCTTTTGAGTCAGGTTAGGATGTGCCAGGCCCAGAAGGAACAGTCATCTAGCTACACTGACAACACAGAGTTGTCTTCTGGAAGCACACAGCTGAGAACTAGGCTCTGAAACACCGTGAAACCATACTAAGCCACTGTCTGAACATGAGACCCTGCTGAGATGACCACCTGACCACCTGGATGTCTTCCTTCTGTCTCTCTAGAGTAATGCCAGTTCATAGATCTGTGGAATCTCATCAAACAATAGATATATGTTATTTTTGCCTACCCCATCAACTTTTCTTTGGTGAAATGTCTCTTCTGCACTCTTACGTGGTCTGGAGGGCTGTCTCCACCACCACCACCACCACCCTCAGTCAAGGGCAAGCATGGGGCATCAGGCTCCCCAGTCAGTCACAGGTGTTAGTTCAAGGGACGACCTGATCCGGGCCAGTGACACTCAGCCCAGACAGTTGCAGAAGCAGTTGGGAAGGAGTACCCTCTCTCTGCTGGGGTGCTAGGGCAGTGAGGAGTCCTAGGGGCAAGCATGCTGTGATTTGAGAAATGCCTCCTGAAAATGAAGGTGAGACAGAGAGAGCTCAGTTCAGAGACGGAGGCAGTTTCCTGATGACACAGCTTGAGGTGTATTCAGCTCAGCCTGGACTTTACAGGTTCATGAGCCAATGCACTCTCTCTTTTTTACTGATGTTAGTTTGAGGTAGGTTTCTGTGACTTGAAACCACAAGAGTTTCTGACTAATCCACTACCCAGTTAACTCCCTTTTGTGCAAAAATTGCACAGAATTGTATAATAAATTACTGTGACATGAATCAGAAGCTCATGAATGATGAAACAAGAGAAAAGAACTGGCAATGAGCCTTCAAACTAGCTGAAGATAGAGAGATAACTGAATAATAACACCACTCAGTAGAGACTGTTTAGTGCTGATAAGTGAAATAATTGTCATTGCCATGGTAACAACAAAATGCAAAAGAAAAAATTGAGAAAGAGGATTTTTAAAAATAGGGTTTTTAACCTCAGATTAATGCAGTGAAAACTAGAGAGAAAGAAACAGGGTAGAAAAATCAAGGCATTAAAGTTTTATTTTACATAAAATAAAGATAAAAGCCATTTTTTAAAATGGTATAACCTAATATAGTTTTTCAGTGTAAAAATCTTGATGTCTACCTTATAAATTTTATAGGGAAAAGGAAAGATGTAATTCATACAGCAAAAATCAAGGGTCTTGTACCAAGAAGTATACTATTTTCCTCATATCATAAATTGAAAATAAATGGCAAGGAATCAAAAAACATTAGAACACCAAAAAATTTGATGATGGAAAGTTAGATAAGGTGTAACGAATAAGGCAAATGTAAATGAATAAGAAAATGTAAATGGCTAAAATTCCTATTTAAAGATATGAAAATCTCAGGTCAGATCAAAGGACAGAGTCTGAATATGTACTGTTGTTAAAAAATATATGCTAAGATGGGTGGGAAGGGAGGGATAAGGGGAAAAAGGGGTTTTACGATGAACGTACATAATGTAGCGGGCGGGGGGGGACACGGGGAAGGCAGCACAACACAGAGGAGACAAGCAGTGATTCTATAGCATCTCACCACGCTGATGGACAGGGACTGTAAGGGGGCATGTGGCGGGGACTTGATAATAGCGAGAGTCTCGTAACTATAATATTGCTCATGTAACTGTACATTAATAATAGCAAAATAAAAA